GACCCTCGAACGAACCAAAATGAGAACAACCATCATTAGAGTCAATTTTTGGGCCCGTACAGCACATCCGGATGTACTTTTCCCCTCACCATCGAAAACCCTGAAACCTTTGTCTTTCTTTCTTTTTCGAGAAAAAAAACAAAAAACAACGCCCCCCTCCCCCGGCGCGAAACCACCAAAAAAAACTCGGTTGCTTTTGGCTCCCCTGGAAAACCCATTAGATGGCAAACAGTTAAAGTCCTAACATCCCTTGGCACAATGCACCAAAGAAAACCCGCCGAAACGCGCCAAACCCCCCCCCCCCCGCCCTCCCGCCGCCGCACCGCGAAACGCGCGACGCCCCACTCCTCGCCTCCGTCGCCGGGCCGTGGGCTCGCGACACGTCCGACGCGACGCTCCGCTCCCAGGCAAAGGTCTCCTCGGGGGTTCGGTGAAACCACGGGGCGGAGGCGGAGGATTTTCTTGCCAAGGAACGTGCCCAGGGAAAAGACACTGAAACATAGGACTGGTTTTTGAGGGTACTTCTTTTTGTTGAGGGTTTCAATCAACGTACCTAGACTCTCCATGACCCTTGAAAAAGCACGTGACCCCTCTCTTTTGGGTAATGACCCCAATTTTAAAGGGTCATGGAGACTCCGGTACCCACGGAAAAAAACGCGAGACAACTTCTATGTGGGGGTTTTGAGGTACCCGTTTTTTTGAGGGTTTCAAATGTTTGTTTTTTTTGAGGGGATGTTTCTTTTTGTTGAGGGCTTCAACGGGAGCCCAAAAGGAAAGCCACAAGTTTGGAGGTCCCGGAAGACCAAAAAACAGACCCCATGACTGGGAACAGAAAACACGATCCAAAAGGGAATTCGGGTACTGTTCCAAGGACGACTGGGTTGGTCCAACTGAAACTGATCCGCGAACAGCGGACTTCATTCTTCCCCAGGCTAATTTAGCTCGTTGATCGTAGAAGGCCAAGATTTGAGACCCGCAAACACCAGTTAACGAGGCGTCGAATGGAGGTGTCTGGGTCTTGCGTAAGCCCCAGCCTCTGGATGACAAATTCCCGGGGGTTCCAACCACCATTAAAACCATGGTCGGCCTTTCTTTTTTCACGAAGGGGGTCCATTTCCTACCTTTTCCCAAACAAGCGTGATTTGGGTGGGTTCATATACCCAGGTGCCATTGTTGACCGTTCAGGATTGTCATGATCCAATTTGGCAATGAATTTCTTGGCTGCGAACAGACTCTAAATACTTAGCCACGAACACAAAGGCTCTTAGCCAGGTTTTTTTTTGGGCGAACTGGTTCTCTCCAATTTGGGCTTCCCCACATATGGCCATGGGTCAAAATCCCGTACCCCCAGTGAACATCCCAATCCCCACTAGAATAGGTCCTAAAATGGGTGGTGAATTCACCTACCAACCAAAATGGGATCCCAAAACGGTTTTGAATATGAATATGAAAAAAACAAACAACAGACCGCAGTTTGTAGTCCTTCTTGCCATTCACCGATCGGGCAACCCATTTAGGTCCTAGTCTTGACGACCACAGCCATATGAATTTTGGGTCTCCCTTTGCTTTCCCAAAGGTCCTCGGACTTGAGGCTCTTCCAGGTGACGCTCATGGCAGAGGTCATGGAGTGTAATCCCACCGCAACGGAGTAGTAGCACTGGTTCCTCTGCCCAATTTGGCCATGGCTCAAAACTGTTTTGGGATACCATTTTGGGATAGGTGAATTCACCACCCATTTTAGGACCTATTTTAGTGGGGATTGGGATGTTCACTGGGAGTACGGGGTTTTGACCCATGGCCATTTGTAGTGGCTACCCCTTCTTGGGATGGTTGTAGAGGAAAAACCAAGAGGGAACACGAAGAAATGTTGGGGGATCCCTAAAAACCGCAAAGAGGAAACTCTGTGGATGGACGAAATCCATTTCGCACCACTTTGAAACCATGGAAAACCATCAAAAGTGGTGCCTTAACTGGGCCCACAAGGTGCTGCTTAAATCCAAAGGGTAAGTGGCGAATTCTTGCTGGTGCTCAGTGGGGAATGACCTTTCGGGTGTCCTTAAAGGAAACCATGGGGGATGGTTTAAGGGGGTCATTCCAACTCACTCCCGGGGAAATTTGTTGTTAAACACCCTGCAACCCTTTTGGGTGAGTCATTTGCTGAGGGTAAACCCCTTTTTTGGGTGATGTAAAGGAAAACCAAGAGAAACAAACATTGCGGCATGTTGGGGGATAACGAAAAAAGAACAAACGCACAGCCTGTTGAAAGCGACATGCAAACAAACAAAAATACGCAAATGAGCTATTTCTGTTGTTTCAACTGTTTCGTGGGGGCTGCTCAATATTTCGTCCATCCCCAAAATGACCACTGGTAACTTTTCCCAGTTATTTTATCGTATCTTTCCTTCGTTGGGTTCCCCAATGGTCACCGCATGTATCACCCGGACCTTTGGATCAACCACACCTTGGGGTTCAAAACACCACTAAACCAATGGTTGGGTTTATATAACCACCATTGTTTTACCAGGATCGCCATCATCCAATTTAGGTCCTGGCCCTTCTTTCACGGGAATCGTCAAGGAACCCTAACCCACATGGACCGCACGTCAGCCTTGTCCGGCCCTTGGCATGTGCTTCTGGCTTTTGGGCTGGTCGAGGGAAACTTGAGGTGCCCCGGAAACCCCTTTTCCAGGAAAATCAAGTCGTTTTCTGGTTTGGCACTCTCGCCCTTTCAAGAAGAAAAAGGAAAACACATGCGCCATGGGGCCATGATTGAACATGTCCGGCCAGAAACCAGAGAGGAATCTTTCGATTCATGGCCAAGCTGTTGCCAGGGGTCCAACTGCATGTCAACCCAACCAACCAACCAACCGACCGATCAACCAATTAACCAACCAACCAACCAACCAACAAGCAAGCAAGCAAGCAAGCAAGCAAGCAAGCAAGCAAGCAAGCAAGCAAGCAAGCAAGCAAGCAAGCAAGCAAGCAAGCAAGCAAGCAAGCAAGCAAGCAAGCAAGCAAGCAAGCAAGCAAGCAAAAAAAAAGAAGGAAACATTCACCACCTTAACTGGGCACAAAAGGTGATACTTCAAACCATTCAAGAGGGAATATGCAAATTTGGGGTCAGATCTCAGATTCCGGGAACTTTGGGGATTGATCATGGTCTTGAATCGCCCTCCCAAAGGGTGGACGGTCCAAGTAACATGCTTTGCGCGTGAAAGGGTTCAGAAGGGATCACCATATCACCGTCTCAGGTTCTTGGGTAGGTGTGCAATTTCCCCCTCCCAAAAAAACAACACAATTGTGTTGTTCCTTTTGGTGATCCTTCTGGTCTGGTTAGGACTTAATTACGCGGTATAACCTCCAAAAAAACACTCGCAAACGCCAACACACACACACACACACTCCAGTCCAGTAGAGGCAGTCATACTCAGCGCTGTAAGTGATCGCCTCATCCACCAGCCGTGTGGAACCGTCCCTGCGCACGATGGTCGCACTGCAGGTGGTACCTCAGAGTGTCTTCAGCTTCCATGAGCTGGTGGCACCTGGAAAATGACCCAAAGTGGAAAATGCCCATGACGACTTTATCACTTTAAAGCGGATTCTTGCTTGGTGTCACAAAAAAACGACCTTCAAACACTTGCTTTCCATGGAGTTCGAGATGGCGTTAAACCATTTTCCTTGGGATGAAAAGAAGGGCACCTTATCGGCCAACAAGAGAGAAACCGTTTCACGTACCACTCAATTAACAACCAAACCCAAAAAGCGACTCATTGAAGTCCGCATCCGCCACTCAAGAAAAATCCGACGACGCGACGGCGCGTCGCAGCTCGTCTTTTTGTTGTTGTGTTAAACGTGAAAACTCGCGCGCCTGCGGGGTCCAGCGTGATGAAGTACCTGGTGCCCCAGGGGTCGCGCCAGTTCCCCGCGATCTGCTCCAAGCGCCCCTCCAGGACCTCGCCCTCCTCGACGCCCCCCGAACACCGGGCCCCGCGAAAAATGCCCCCGAAGACGTGGGGAAAACGGAGAACGCCCGGGTTGCAACGAAAAAAAAAAAAAAGTCCGGGGGGAGCGGAAAAGGGGGGGAGCACCGGGGGTGATGGCCTGACTTTTGGCCCAACTCACCCGCGGGAAAAGGGAAACCCTGGTTTCTTACTTTGCCCCTGCAAAAAAAAGGTGCAGGGCCACTCACTCATTGTCCCATGTCCTTTTGAAGCTGGGGGAACACGTAAAAAATGTGCGCACTCAGTCCCCCCGCCTGCTCCTCCTCCGCCTCCTCTGCCTCCTCTCCCGCCTCCTCCTTTGCCTCCTTCGCCGGTTGGATCTCGGACGTGGCCTCTTCGGACCGGTACCTAGGCTCAGCTTCCCTTTGGTTTTGCCGGGTTCGGTGGTTTGGTGGAGTGACATGGGGGCGGTTTTCCCAATACAACCCTCGACAAAACCCAGGGACCCCTTCAAATCCGGAGCCAGTTCCCACCAATCCAAAGCACCAAGCAAGGGTTACCTGATGGCTTACCTGCTAGGCAGTTGCTGCGAGTCAGATGTGGTTTCTGAGGCTCAGTAGCCTGGGTTGTCCGTTTTCGGATCCTGCTAAACGTTTAACAGTGGGTTGAATCTGGAAATTACCACTAAACCAAGTTAAAGCGCTAAAAAGCTAAGGAACCGGATGGCTGGGAGCCGTCAAGTACCCCTTTCACCTAAGCCGTAGGCTCACCGAAAGGAACACTAATAGTTTTGAGGCTCCCCTAGTTTGACACATGGTTCTGATGCTGCTTTACGAAGGCTTGTCCCTGTTTCCGGTGTGGGAATTCAGTTTGCCCAAAAGGGGCAACAGCGCATGTGAGCCCCGAAAGCACAAAACAGCTCAGTTCCCCAGGACAGTGGGTGGCCCGGTGTAATTGAAATTTAGGTGACGCCCTCAATCAGTTTACTCCCCCACAATTAACATGGAACCCCAAATGGGGGTGCTTTTGGACCACAAGCCTCCTCTATGGGTGGGTTGGGGCTCCTTCCGTTCACATGAGGCATTTTGCTTCATCAAATCTGCCATTGAAGGGGTCTACCCCAAACCCACAGAGGATCAACATGGCGTGCTTGATCCTGCAGGTGGCAACACAGAACCCACCCGAAGCGAATGAACTTCAGGCCAAGTATTTCTTGCTCAGTTGCCCAAAGGAACCCAGAATGAAAGGTTAACCTCGTGGGACCTTGACTAAATATGGACTACTGGAAAACCAAAAGGTCAAAAGGTTGGCTTTGGACAACTGAGTTTCACACAGCTATCCAAGCCACACTGGTGAACGAAATGGATATGCACCAGTGGATGGAGGCAGGCCAAAGCACCACCGCTTTACATTGTTCCCAGATGGAAAGAAAAGGATGAGAACCTTGGCCCAGAGTTGGAACCACCGAACTCAAGTGGACCACCGAATCGGGACCCCAGCTCTGATGTCCAAAGGGCTCGCTCCCATTTCGGGGAACTAAGAGGTGAGGGCGGAACTTGGGCGAGGTGTTCAAAAGTATTACCCAAGAAGATACCTCAGACAAACAAAACATGGTCTGGAGCATAAGCCGGACACTCTCACATCTGTCCGATATCACAAAAGGCATCTATGGTCTGGGAGTTGTCCCCTAGTGAAACCAAGTCAACCCCAGTTTTCTTCCCGCCAAAGCGTTTCGAAGTGTGCTGCTTCTTTTCCAAGCTTCCCATGCCACGTAGACCCAGCCAATGACAAGCTGCCTACTGAGAAAGTGGCCAAGTAAGTTCTTGGCCCATGCAATGTCCCCCATGTGGAGTTAACCGCATGCCAAGAACTCCAAGAGCATGTCCGTCGCATTTCATCCCACTGGCCTCCTCTAAAGGCATGCAAAATGGAGCTGTGAAACTTTCGGTGACGGAATCCCTGGCCAAGAAAAACAATCACAGGAAACGCATATACTCACAGACTTCGGATGCTTGTCCATGAAAGATGCTCTAAGCTAGGCAAACTCACCATCAATGGCCCAAGGTGCTGTTAGAAACCCCCACTCTTTTAGGAGCAAGCCGATGTTTCCCCACCCATTTTGTCCAGTCGAAACAGCGAAAAATCCCCCCGGTGGCCGACCAAAACACCGGGTGGCGCTAAATCAAAACCATGAAAACTCCCTGGGGCCGACCAAACCAACGGGTGGCGCTTCTCTCACCTCTCGGGGCGGCGGAGAAAAATCGGGAAAAAATGTTTCCGTGGTGCCAGGTGTAGGGCCTGGAGGTGTTGAGGGGCTGCCAGTGCACTGTCCACTCGTCCTCCATCTCCATGCAGTAGCTCTTCCCCCACCTGAGACTCTTGACTCTTGTGGACCAAAGGAGGGAGAGAATGCTCGTTGATGTTGACCCCGCATGCATCAACCAACCAGTTTATTAGGGCCACCTGAGACTCTTGTGGACCAAAGGCTCCAACCAGGGGCTCCGGAAAAGGGAATGTCACCTTCGTTGGCATTGTTTCCATATGGATCAACCAGTTCCAGTTTATTAGAGGGGTGGGGGGGTGTTCCCCTCCCGAAAGTGTTCTGATTCCCCACATGTCACCCAGGGAGAAGCACCCACCGATTAATAAACTGCGGTTGAATGCGGTTGATTTGGGGTCAACATTACCCTGACAATCTGACTTGTTTTGGTTTCGCCCTTTTTACCAGGTCCAGGTGCTTTTGGCTTGAAACCTGGGGTGGGCTTAAAGGGAACCAAAAGGAACACCTTCCATTTTGGATATTCCCCCCAATGTAAGACAAGCCCAACTCGCAAAACCGAGCGGCAGGATGCAGTCGTCCTGCTTACTGTATTTCAGTATCCCCGGCGTTTGTACGATGCGTCCACTCTCCCGAAGCGTTCGCACGGTGCAGGACGCTTCGTCCTCGTCCAGCGTCACCTGACGCTTGGTATGTATGCGGTGAGTGTTCCGGACCCAGAGTATTGAAGGATGTACTTTGGCCCATGTTGCTCTCCCCCAAGTACATCTTTAGAAGGTACCAAGGGGCCCTTGGGGTGAGAAAAATATAAGAGTGCAAAACATTCGGGGGAAACCGCAGTTGGGGCATCTACGTCTATGTAAAACGGAAACACACCGCACCAGAGTCCAAAAAAGGCAAATGTTGTTGAACAACCGCCTGTTTGCCGAACAACAACCAAACCACCAGGTGAATACACAGTCTGGTGGTTATGACTGACCAACAAGTCAAACAATTACCTTGTGCTGGTTTGTGGGAAAGAACAGCTTTTCCGAGAAGTGTTAAATATTAAGGTTCCATCCCGGCAATTAAAACCTAGCAGCCTGCCCTTTTTTGGCAGATTGGGGTTGAGAGGTGGCTTCCCAATCAACAAACAGAGAGACTGACAACTAAATAAACAAACAAACACGCTCTGACGCTCTGGAACCGCACGAGCGGTCCAAGGCTCTTCCCAGTGGCTCGGCCACAAAGCAAGGCCTTTGGTGCTATTTTGGCCAGTGTTGCGAGGCTGGGTTCTTACCA